CATTATAAGTCTCTATTTATCACCAACACAACACAACGTCTTTGGGTACTCAGCAATGTCGGCACTTTGTTTTGATTTTACCGAAACACTGAGAAATCAACGGTTGGCGGTCGGACGCTTCGAATGTTCTAGAAACTTCGCGATGTCGTAATTAATATTTTCGTGGAGAAAAACCACACGGTGAAAATAATGTTTTATCAAGCACGTGAAATAAAATTGCACTTGCACTCGGAATTGTGCGGCACTGGAAAGCTAGCTGCGCGGGTGTTCACCAAGGAAAGGATAACACCATTGGGAAGCGCGGATAAAATTTTCGAGCAAAAATGCACGCCACGCCGCGAGTTAATTTTCCCTCTCAATTAACGCCAATTTCCCTCATTTTGATCACGTCGGGGTCACCAATGTAGGGATTGAGGAGTATTCGGGAAGGTAACAATCCACTAACAAATGCAATTAAACTAATAATTACAGATTTATTATCCGCGTCAAATTAATACAAAGGTGAACAGAAAATAATATGATCCGATCAAATGTGCGATACGAGCTGTACTGTTAGACTGAATTATATTCGCACGGAATGGTGTCAGCGAGGCTGCCGAATATCCTTCCGATTTGATGAATTAGAAAAGAATACGCGTGGCACTGAAGGTGCGAGTGAGATGGCAAATGCCTGTGCTCGTCGTTAGCCAGTGTTCGCGTTTTAGGATGTCGCGAGGCGCTACAGGGGAGGGGTCTGACATTACATTTTTATAAAATTTACCCCTCCGGAAACATGCGCTGATTTTTGATAATTAAAAAAAAAAGAATTTCGGGGAAAATACATGATCATACGGTTTCTTCGGGGGGTTGAAGACAGCCGCATGTATCCGGAGGGGTGAAAATTTACAAGGGCAAAGGGGAGGGGTCTGAGACTACATTGTTATAAAATTTACCCCTTCGGAAACATGCGCCTATTTTTTTCAATTTTTCAAAAATAAATTTCTGAGAAAATGCATGAGACTGGGGTTTTTCGGGGGGGTTGAAGACACCCGCATATATCCGGAGGGATGAAAATTTAGGGGGGAGGGGGGAGCGGTCTAAGACTACATTGTTATAAAATTTAGCCCTTCGGAAACATGCGCTGATTTTTTTTAATTTTTCGAAAAATAAATTTTTGAGAAAATGCATGAGACTGGGGTTTTTCTCGGGGGTTGAAGACACCCGCATATATCAGAAGGGATGAAAATTTAGGGGGGTGAGGGACAGGGGTCTGAGATTACATTTTTATAAAATTTACCCCTCCGGAAACATGCGCTGATTTTTTATAATTAACAAAAATAATAATTACGGGGAAAATACATGATCATGCGGTTTCTCCGGGGGGTTGGAGACAGCCGCATGTATCCGGAGGGGTGAAAATTTACGGGAGTGACGGGGAGGGTTCTGAGACTACATTGTTATAAAATTCACCCCTCCGGAAACATGAGCTGATTTTTTATAATCTAAAAAAAATTAATTTCGGGGAAAATACATGAGTATGCTGTTTCTCCCGGGGGTTGAAGACAGCCCCATGTATCCGGAGGAGTGAAAATTTACGGGGGTGAGGGAGAGGGGTCTGAGACTACATTGTTATAAAATTCACCCCTCCGGAAACATGCGCTGTTTTTTTATAATAAAAAAACTTAATTTCGGGAAAAAAACATGATCATGCGGTTTCTCCGGGGGGTTGAAGACAGCCGCATATATCCGGAGGGGTGAAAATTTAGGGGAGTGAGGGGGAGGGTACTGATATTACATTTTTATAAAATTTACCCCTCCGGATCCATGCGGCTGTCTTCAACCCCCCGGAGAAACCGCATACATCCTCGTTACATCCTCGTAACAGCGAGGATACTATGTTGTCAGGGTGCCTCAACCACGAATTTTCCGGGGAACCTCCTGTTCATTTATCGCAGTAATTTCTTCCTTTCTTCATATTTTTCTTGTAATTCACTGGAATCAAAGAGTGAAAGCCATTTCAACAAATGTTTGCATCTAGTTCTCAATTTTTCGATTTGATTCTCGATATCACTAAAATTAAACGATAACTATTTCGGAATATTAACATTGAATTGTGCAGATATTTATGGTATATTAACGTACTAATTGAGAAATTGCACTTTTGACCATCATGAAGTTTCAATCATTTGTTCAAAATAAAATAAAGGGAGAAACTAATTGGGTCAAGGTCTAGTGTAATGGACAATTAGAAGAGTTGAATTAAAATAACAACAGAAGTGAATAAATAATATTAATAAATAAATAAATAAATAAAGTATATAGTTTATAAGAAATGTTATTATCAACTAAGTAGAAAATATTAAAGCATGAAGTGAAACAAAAAATAATAACGATAATAATAATAATTATAAGAATAACAACCGTGTGACCTGCTATGGAATGTTTAATTCAACACTCATTAATAAGGCTCGAAAACTGAGTGCTTCCTTAGTGAATTTCTGCATTTAGTAATGAAATTTTGTCTTCTTTCCCTCACTTCGCATTGCGTAGTAAATCACTTTGAAATGTAAAATTTATGTACCCCCCCCCCCCCCCCCCCCCC